GGATAATGCTATTTTAAATAATATTAATATTATAGAGTATAATCTTTAAGATTCTATAGGCCCAGTAAAAGTATATTACCCAGACTAGATTAACTAGCTTAGCTAATTAATTAAGATAGTACAAGATGCTACAGCCCCCAACTAAATAACTACTAGTTTAGAGTATCTTTTACAGATACTAGATTAGCTCTATAAAGCCCGAGTAGATATCCCCAACTTTGTGGATAATATTAAGATTATTACTTCTATAGAGAACCTAGTATAATACCAGCTAACTATTATAGCTAAAAGTAAGCTTCTAATACAATATTAGCTTAAAGAAATTAAAAGCAAGTAGAATCAAGCTAATAAGAAAATTATAAAAAAAATCCAAGGCTCTAATAGAGTTTAGATTATATAGAATATAGCTACTAGTATAAAAGCATTACTAAACTATACCTTTATAGGCGTAGAAGAAGATATTATAGAAATATTAGAAATAGATACCTAGAATACTTAGAGACCCAATACTAGAGTCGCCTTTAAACTGTTAATAACATTTCTTTAAGCTAGTTAGGAAATTATAAGGAGGTTTATTTTAAATAAGTAGTAGGAAATTATCTTTCTTTTAGTATATTGCTATTTTAATACCATTTTAAATAAAGATAATAGTAATAATTTTAAGAGTAGTAATATTAAGAATAATAATAATATATAACTATATATATTTCTAGGTAGGGAGGGTAGTACTAGAAAGTCTAGAGTTATTAAAACATTAGCAGAATTATTTACTAGCAAAGATATATTATACAAGCTGCTTATAATAATAATATTAGAGGCTATAGTAGTATAGATTAACAATATAACTATTTACTCTACCTATAGGATGCAACTCAATATATCTAGTAGTAATATTAATAATAGCAGTATAGTAACCTATATTAATAGTAATACTTAAAGAAGATAGAGAGAAAAGTAGCTGCTTATTATTAATGAGATAAGTATACTAGGCCTCTAGATGCTCTCTAACATCAACAAGCAACTTTGTGCCTCCTGGAGATTAAATTAAGATTTTAGCAGCATCCTAGTAGTATTACTATCGGGAGATTTCCACTAGTTCCGCCTAGTGCAAAATAAGTTGCTATTAATACTATAATCTGCCCTTAGAATTACAAATGAAATAAGAATATATACACTCTAGGCTTAATTTACCACCATTATAATGCTCACTAAATAGATATATATAGCAGGAGACCTAGAGCTATAGCAGCTACTAACTTAAATCCAGCAGGAGCAGCAAGATGAGTTTAATATAGAGCTTCTTAATAGCTAATACTTTTAGAAAGGCCAAGCTATACTATAGAATAAGAGTATTATAGTAGTTACACCTCTTAATAGCACTAGATAGTATCTAAATATAGATGCTATCTTGGCCTTTTAGAGGTACTACTAAAAGTTAGTCTAGATATTTCTACCCTAATATTATTAGGGTAAATTTAGTATATTACTAGTAATAGAAGAAGAAGCTATACTTATAACTAGTATTAAAAATAATAGTAAGATTTATATACTAGCTATATTTATATTTATACCTAGTATATTAGTTATAGTAACAATAAATATAAACCCAGGCCTTAAGCTTATAAATAGCATTAAGTATATAGTACTAGAAGTTATACTAGATAGTAAAAAATTCCCAGGCTATTAGCTTGCCCCAAACATCATCCTCTATTTTAAACTACCTACTAGTATTATCTTATTATTTAAATTAACTAAGAAATTTAAATTTAATAAAATACTACTAGATATAATTCTACTTACTCCAATAAGTATATAAATACTAATTAAAAAGAAGAGGGTTAAGAAGAGGCCTTAGTAGAGGCATAATATAAGCCGCTAAGAACTTCCTTATACTATAGCATTTACATACACCAATTACAAAATCCAAGGCAAAACCCTCCTCCAGATTGCACTAGAGCTATAAGAAACCAAAACAAAGGTAAATACTAAGACTAGATAACTCAAGCCACAAAAATGCAATTCATATAGCCTATATATACAGCTATTATAGTACAAATCGCTAGATAGTATTATATTGCTATTAAAGGCGTATGTAGAGGATATAGTCAGGAATAAAATACCATAGGAAATATTTAATAGCGAGGCTAGGCTGGAGCAATTATACAGAGTAATATTAAATAAGGCTTGGTTATTATTATTGCACTCATCCGCATAATATAAGCAATAATATAGTTTATAATGTAGATAGCAAATTTAAGGAACAGTTAGGTATATATTAATAGATGATAAGTATTTTGTTACGATTCTATTGCCCCTATCATTCTGGCTCTTTTATGCAGTAGACGATGATCCCCCGCCCGGAATATCTAGTTCGCGTTTCATAATAATAATAACATCTAAAGCGGGGTTCTTAGCACCAGATATCCACCAAAGACCTAACATCTCCGCTAAGTAGCTACTAGATATTCCAAAATTTATAAAGAAAATCAATAATAAGATTTCGAGAAAAATCAATCCACTATTTCCTATATATATATTATATATTATAAATCCAATCTAATATAATAGATTTTACCTAACTCAAGTAAAAGCAGAAATCTCACAAAATGCAAATAACAAGAGCAACAACATTATTATAAATTAAAAGCTCACGTAAATCCTACGTAATTCTTAACAGAAAAATCCCAGCCAATAAAGACTTCTTTACACTTAATCTCGGGGGGAGGGTGAATTCGAAGTTCATCCACATGTGCCAAATGAGAGTGGGAGGATTGGACCAATAGAGGGACCCGGGTGTGGTATTAATCCGGGCCAATAAGAGGTGCAGTTGCGCTTCCGAATCGGGTAATTTTGCCAGGGGGGGGGGGCCAATTTCGGGGGTGAAAAATCCCAGAGCTTAAGAAGACCTTTCGTACCGCAAGGCATGAACTCTCCCCCCGGGAAAGTGGGGCTTGAAAATGAACTCGAGTAGAGTTCTGAGGTTATACCATCTGTAGGCCGCCTGGCCCCACCACGGTCTCGGCGCTTGCCGGAGAGGTCATGATGAAAGCTAGTCCACCACCTCACAACTCTTCCAATTCAGAAAATAATAAAGATTTCAAGATAGATCAATAGTCCCCCCTGGTATAGCCTCGTTCGTTATTCCTGCGTACTGTACACACACACACACACAATTTATTACGCCCGGTGGCTTACAACCAATAGGGCACTTGTACTGTACATACACACACAAATCCGGTGTCCTCTTTGCTTAAACTTTAAAAGAGAGTTTCGGCGCACGGACACATGTCACACAGTGTGTATTACTTTTTAAATCCACCGGATACCTTACAAGGTACGTACCCACTTGGCCCGGGAGTGCGTTTTGCCGAAATCCGTAAAGTCTTCTTACCTTGGCCACCTGACCACCACCCATTCTGCTCTCTTCACCTGGAAGCAAAATTATTGAACGTGCACTATTCTGAGTCTTGACAATTCTTCCCTTCAGGATCAAGTAATCATGGCTCCGCCGCCTCTTGTTTTAACTGCCCTGCCCTGCCCTCCTGACCAGATACTCCTCGGCAGCCTCGTACCTGACCGACGCTATCCAAACCGGGACGCGGAGCACAAGATTGAAGTCGAGGAAAGCGTTAAGTCTGCTAGGGGCTTCCAGTGGCGGACGATCGAGGCCTTTAATGACAAGGACTCCTCCACAACGACAGCCTCGTTTAAGGCTGCCCTCACCAAGCTCTTCTCGGCGTCAGCTAGCCTCTCCAGCTCTCCGAACAAGCTCGAAATACTGCCCGAAGAAGGCTCGTCTGGCCTACAGTTCTCCGAGTACAGCTTGGTGCAACCACGTGCGCTGTTCCGCGAGCTCTGTGCCTTTGGAGAAGTGCGCGAGCTTCTCGAGAATGGATACAAATACAATGTGCCGTGGTACTTTGTGGTTGGGTACCGCACACTGGTAAACGCGCGCGTCATTATGAGAGAAAATCGATCAACCGAAGCCAAAATCAAGGTGACCATGCCTGTATCTGTGGTGGCAGGAGCCCCAGTACCGGACGATACAACAGATATTGGGATAGAAGCACAGTTCAACAGTAGCAGGGACCAAAACACAACTTTCATGGCCCGGGGTGAACAGGTGTTTGCTGTGGCCTATCGCAGGGTTGAGTTGAGCTTCTTCAAGGGCGAGGATGGGAGGCGTCGCGCGTCACTGGCGAATGATGACTGCTGGATATCCGTCAAGGGCGCCCGCGGGGCTGGGGCGGCACCTGAAGATGACGAGTTTGTGGAGGCCGGCTTTGGTGATGCCATTAATGATGAGCATGATGTTTGCATTCAGTTTAGGGATGACCTGTTTGTTGAGCTTGCTTCTCCCTAGGAGTATTAAACAAGCACTAGAAGTCGTGTAACGGCCATAAATTTGGATGAGACTGAACCTTGCTCCTGTAACTCCCGCAAATCCATGGCCTCTGGCCATCTAAATCGAGTCACGACTGCCAGTGCTAACTGATCTACTTCCATCAACACCCGAAATGCACAAATGTCGCCCATGAAATCACGTTCTCTGGGCTCGTTCGTCTTGCCCATATAGGAAGCAGTGCTCCTTCTCGTAGAAGCTGTACCGCGTGGTGGTGAGCGTATGCCACCTGGTCATGGTCACTTTTTACGACGGCGCCTTCAAACCCACTAGGCAACGCCTGCGCTAGTTCTTTATAGAAAAGAGTGGCTATATCAACGGCAGTGAGGTCATGCGCTATCCACAGAGTGGCAAGCACATGACGGAAGCCGACAAGCTGAAATGCGCTCGCAATATGAATGGCCTCGTCTCGTAAATCGGGGGCCCTATGTCGAGCAGTGGAGCACGCCGATAAGTACGCCATGTATGCCTCAGGCAGGGACACATCGGCCACTTCGCGCACCGACAAACGCTGAGGGGTCCCATCAGGGCCGTCCCGAAGAGCCAGATAACTGTTGGAAGGGTCTTCAGGATCCGACTCGCCGTGACATGCGAAGTGCATTATCGGACGGCATCGCATGGAGTCGAGGACCGACTCCTTGTCTGGCGTTTCGAGGACATCACACTCTTTGACGCTTCGCTGTATGCCTTCAACTTCTCCAGCCGTGCTGAGGTCCTCGAAGCCAGTAGTTTTCGGCATAGCTACGATTTGTATGCCACATTCTTGCCACCCCCGCATGGCTAGCGATATCTCCCGAGCACTGGCAAGTGCCTTGAACGTTGGGATGTACGATGACACAACATGACTTGCCGTGTTCTCGGTGCTTTGACCCCATCCTGAACCTGCTGCGTGGAGTGGAGTGTGCCCAACCGGGCCGCTCGTGACCCACCATAGGCGAGGGAGGCGGCCCGGTGTAGTCGCAGTGGTGCGCAACAAATCTAAAGCGACAAGGACGGGGCGTACAGCCACTTCCCACAGCCATTTAAGGTGTGCTCGAAGTTTTTTATTTCTGTTGGGGTAGGTTGCAGTATCGCGTGCGCTTGTTATCTTATCCATGTCCTCTACCCTGTGTAAAAGATCGCTAAAATGGAGTTCTGCTAGCGAGAGAACCGTGATGTCCCTGTTGGAAACAAGAAAGGCATCGCTGCGGTGCTCGGTGACGTTGAATGAAACGATGGAGCCGGATTCTGCCAACTGGATGAGACCACTCGGGGCTAGGGACAATCCAAAGGTCTGAAGCGCCGTTTGCTCCCGTATCTGCTCCTCAAGAAGCTCCAAAACACGGATAGCCCGGTTTCGAAGGGACACGTCGTCTGCCTTGCCCCATTGGCTCTCCGGCTTCGACATGGAAAACGAAGCGAGCTCCCGCTTTTCCATGTATTCTTGATACAAAGCAGGGCTTGCTTTCTCTAAAGCAGAGAAACTCGAACGGGAATCAATGACCGAACTGGCGATAATGCCTCGGCCTGCTTCCAGAAGAGCAAGAGCCTCTGGTGGCATGATTCCAGCATTGAGGGCTGCACAGGCCGCCAGTGAGGAAAGACCGGACATGCCTCTCAGAACGTATTGTCGATCGTCCCATAAGAGGCCACGAATGTAAACTTTGGGAAGAAGCCCAATGGCGCCGGCGAGGAGTTTATACGCAGCAGGCCAGTCGGACCGACTTATATGCAAATCTGCTGCTGCCCTGCTGGCCTCAATCCTTTTTAGGGGTGCTGTAAGATCATTTTGAGCCACGTTCGTGTAATGAAGAAGAGCATCTTCGAGATCTTGAGACGTCTCTCCGCCTTTCCCCTTCCCCTTGCCTCTAAAGCCCAAGGCTCGGGCTAAGTTGAATGAGACATGTCCAAGTCTGTGATCTGACGGGGCCATTTTGCTGACTGCTTCCCTTCCAAACTGAATAGCCTCGTTAAGATCGTCGACCCGTCCGGTTCCTTCGTGTCTTTGGATGAGCCACAGACCCAAGTTGCTGAGTAACAGCAATCGGACAGGATCGCCTGCCGGTAAAGCACCCGAGGCCTCGCCAACTCTCTCGATCGCCTCGTCTATGTCGCTGCGAATCTTCTCTCGGTCATATCTCATTCCCAACATGGCCCCAAGATTACTGAGATAGTGTACACGATCGCCGTGGTCGGGTGGAGTCGCATCCAGGGTCCTACGCGCCGCATTGATTGCCTGTCCAAGGTCCGTGAGGTCTCCAGAACGAGAATACTTCCTGCATAGCTGGTTTGCAAGCGTGCTGAGTATATACGGGTCATCTCTTCCGAGTGCCTCCATCTGACAGACGGCCTCTCGGCTATATCCAATAGCGGCCTTTAAGTCCTCGACAGTGCCTAACCGTTTGAATCTTTGGCTCAATGATGTCGAAAGAGAATTGAGGGCTGATGCGCGGGCAGCTGGTAGAGCTTCATCGACAGCTTTCTGACAATAGCGGATCGACGTATCCAAGTAGTCAAGCGATGAGGTTGCTTCGTATTTCGCGCTGAAGCAACTACCACAGTGGTTCAGTCGATTCGATCGTTCAGCATGGCCGTTTGATGTTCCGCTAACAGCAATTTTGCTAAGAGTAGCAGCTTCGTCCAAGTCCTCGGTTGCTGATTGCCTCTCATATCGTTTTAGAAGCATCATGCTCAGATTATAGTGGTACATCGCTTGGTTAGGATCAGCATCGATGGTAGTTTTCAATGCCTCTCGAGCATTGCAAATTGCGTCTTCCAGATCTTTCAGGACTCGCGTATGAGTGTATTTGTCGCTGAGCAAGATTCCGAGGTTATTCAGAAGCTCTGATAGGTGGGTTGAAGTGCGAGTCCCCTCCTTGACTGCGTCTTGGGCGACTAGAATTGCCTCGTCCAAGTCTTTCGGCTCTCGTGTTGTCTCGTACTTCTGATACCACATGGCCCTTAACTCGCAAAGGGCACTTAGTCCACCATCTGTTCTGGCATATTCTTTCCCCACAGCAATCACATCTTCCAAGTCTGACAATGTCTTGGCCCTTTCGAACTTTTTGCCAATGTCAGCACGAAGGTTTCGTAAGATAGCGGGCCGGGCAGGGTCATCAAGGCCCAATGACTGGGCAACTTCGATACCAATCCAACAAAGTTCGTCCAGATTGTCGGTAGCTCCAGCGGATTTGCAAATCTCGCTTAAGATTGATAGGGTGTTGAACAGCACTCCTTGCCTTTGGGGATCATCTCGAGCCATTGATCTGGCTGCCTCCAGCCCGATACGGGATGACTCTTTCAAATCTTCATCCGATCCATTGGCCCGATACCTCAACCATAGTAAACTCCCAAGGAACGCCAGCTGATTAGGACTACTGTCCACTACTCCAAGGTGTTGTCTGCAAAGAGAGATTGCCTCCTCGAGTTGCTTGAAATCGAAATCATTTGTTGAGCGGTAACTGGTGATGAGGCCATTGATGCGCTCCAAGAGGTCATTGCCCGGCTGGTGTAGTGGCATTGCTTCTGAGAAAGTCGAACTTCGTTGGGGCGGATATCCTTAATGATTTTCTCACTCGTACTGTCAGCGTGGATTCCCTCAGCCGGGGATGGTGTGGTACATACAGATATTGAAGCACACGTAGCGCGTCAATGCTATCTATATCCTTGACGCTCTATCGGCGCGTAGAGGTCACAGGCCTACACTGGGTTTACAGAGGGAGGTCTGTGGGACGCACTGGAGCAAACGTCGCCGAGTGGAAGAAAGCAGAGGTTGGTTTCTGTAACTGAGTGGGCCTGAAGGACCGCACCTAAGTGCGGGGGACTGCTGCCTGAGGCTGCGGGTGACTGCTGCCTGAGGCGGCTGGTGCCAGCTGCCGCCGGACTACGGTCGCACATTACCACATGGGTGACATAACCCTTTTGGGAAGCCTCAACCATGTGGAAATACTTAGTAATTTTGTGCCCCCTTGCAAGACTACAGTACTGCATACTATCCGGAAGGTATCTC